TAATGAACTACTATGTGGATGTTTAATTATACTACAAATCAGTGTGGTGGGGGGGGGGGGGTGAGAGAGAGAAAGCGAGAAGGGTTCTTGTTGAAATAATGAATCAAAATCAAGAACTGATTACTCCGTCCTCACCTTCAGTAGCCAACTGATGTTTGCATCTGTAACCTAATCTGAAGTCTGCGCCTAAAGCTCTAAGTTATAAGATTTTTCATTGAATGGTGAATAGGCTATTAAAATAATCACCACACATCGGTGCACATGTGAACTGATTTCCAAAAAACCTCCAAAAGTTTTTATAGCCTATTTTTTTTTTTTTTTTTTTTAAGGGGTACATAAATTATTATTGATTTTGTAACTGTATAAATGCCAACCAATGATAAAATACTGAACTAACAAATCCACACAACTGCCAAATGAGTAATAGGGATAGTCAAGAAAAGAAGAATAAAGCCTAAATTTATAATAAAAGTCAGAGCGTTATTTCAGAACAAGTACACAAATATAAGTATCTAGGCACGTGGATAACATCCGACGGAAGATGTATCATAGAGATAAAGAGCAGAATATGACAAACCAGACCTGTATTTTTCAAACTAAGATCCCCTCCCCCCCCCCCCCCCCCCCCCCCCCCCCCCCCCCCCCCCCCCCCCACATATCTCAAGGGAAGGGCTAGACGGACATACAAACAGACAGTTACTAGTACCATCGGAATTGGAACTCTTCGATTGCAGCTGGAGATGGGGACGGAGCGCTTATGGCAGTGTCCCGGGTGCTGTGATGTCGATTCGTAAATAGACATTTAAATGCAAAATTCTGTGTCATTAGAGTTTGAGAACAGAATTTGTACATGCTATATAGAGCCAGTTTTAACGTACGGCTGTGTATCCTGGACAATAAATAAACAAGCCAAACAATTTCTTAAGGCTTAGAGATTTTGTTTTACTGAAAAATCGTAAGAATTCCTAGGAGAGCCCAAAAGAGCAACTCAGATGTTTTGAAAGAGTCGAGAGCTCGAACAAAACTTATCACAAACATCAGAAAGAGGCAGTCATAATTGTTTCGTCCTGTTGTGAGAAGAAGGAAACTGGAACATGTTGTGTTGTAACCACTGGAGATATCTGTGGAAAAAAGACAGTGCAAGAAGATCCCTGACAGTATTTTATCATGGCGTGGAAAGGTGTCAGCACACGTACTGATATACGCAGCTGCAGGTCGCAGATTGTGGAGAGGCATGATCGCTCACGCCAGTCAGTAAGACACAAGATGACGATCTCTTTCCCTAAGTAGTAGCAGTAGTCTTCTTCTTCTTCTTCTTTCGTTCGCCTACGCTGAGCCGGAAATGCAGAGACTGGCCAGCAGGTGCAACAGAGGTGGAAATTCAGCAGTTAATTCAAGATAATGCCCGCTCAGAGGATTTTATCATTTACACAGACGGTTCAGTGTCAAGAGGCAAAAGAAGTGTTTGGGGCTTCTTAGAAAAAGTTAATGGTCGACGTTTGGTGCAGGAGAGCCTAGCATATGATACCACAACATCCAGCTTAAGAATGGAGGTGGAGGCGGTCACAGCAGCTTTCCACTGGCTAGAGAACACGACACACACATCGTGATTGTAACTGATTAAGAAAGCATGCTGAGGAAGATCAGAACAGGTATGCTTCGTGCAGAGTGGCATGCTTCGCTGCGGAGGACACGGGTAAGGAGTATTGTCTGGATTTTTTTTTTCACCGGGTCACGACGGTGTGTTGGGGAAAGAACAGGCGGACAGACTGGTTGGCTCTGCACAACTTGGTGGAATACTGACACATGATAAGGCAGACGTGGTTAGTGCCTTGTGGGAGAGCGTGTACAATTCGAGGAGCAGCTGGATCACCACAGTCTGGTGAGATGGATGCAGTGGGGAGCGACGAGAGGTTCTGGCAGATGCTCGAGGCTCAGAGGAAAGGCAAGACGGGCGTTTAATCAGAATGCTACTGGCACCATTAGTATCGGAACTCTTCGCTGGCTGCTGAAGATGGGGGCGGAGCGTTTATGGGAATGCCTGAGTGCTGTGATGTCGGTTCTTGAATCAAATCAAATTAAATAGTTCGCCTACACCGCAAAAGTGGTATGATAAATGCAGAAATGGGCAGTTGACTGAGACTAAGGTTCTGGACTGGAACAATGCTTGGCTTTGAAAGCATTGCGCGTGATAGAATGAAATCTTTTTTTTAAATGTGACATATAATAGCACCAAATGTTTGTTTTTAGATCCGATGCTTTGCTTAAAAAAATTGTCACGTTCAGCTAGCATCCTTGAAGGAGGAGCTTTAGGTTATAATTGTGACCAGGTTATGTGCGCCACATACAATGGCTTATCACTGCTCGCTATGAAAAAAACTCTCGCAGTGTAAATGCGATCAAAGGAGACAACCCAAATACTGTCCCGACCGGCAATGGCAGATCCTTTCACCGATGAACAGGTTTGTTACGATAAAAGTAATGTATATCCATCCATTATGAAAAACATAATGAATTAATTAGGTTTTACACCACTAGGACATCACCCAGAGCGATAAACACATAGTGGCACAAAGTGCCACCATTCGGATGAGGATCACCGTTGGAGAGGTCACGAAAACCCTTTAGGTTATATTAGGGCCCCCGGCAACAGCTATGGTGCGGTTTCGAAATAACGAAAAATTACACCCCACAAGGAGACGACTTATGATAAACAAAATAAAAAATCGAACAAGTTTAATATACCCATACTGACTGACTTTCTACCCCACCAGGACATCACACAAGCGATAAACACCCGATGATACAAAGTGTCAAAGTGCCACCATGCGGATGAGGATCACCGTGGAGAGGTCATAGAAACCGCGTTCAGACAATTGGCCATATTGATGGCCTGCCTATATTGCGGCCCCTGGCAAAAGCCAGAGTGGGGCTTCGAATAACGAAAAATTACGTCCTAAGAAGGTCGTAACGAATTAGCAATAATATATATATACCCATACTCATGGAGTTTCTAGTTATTGCTCGAATTTCCACAGTCGTTTTCTGATTCCGGTGAAAGATTTTATATGTACACGAAGTCGTCTGTATGGAAGCAGAAAGAAACAGCTGACTGACACATCGATCACCGCAATTTTTGTCATCTCATTTTCTGTAGCAAAATCATCACTTTGTGAAACTGAACTGTTCGATCCTTTACTGCGACTCAGCGTAATAAGTCTAGGAATGGTGGCCAAATAGCAGTTATTAAAGCCAGAAGCTTAGCATGACTTGCATAATTTATGATGAATGATTGAAATTTGCGGATCTAAAAAAAAAGTGTAAATAAAACGTTCACTGTGGACCAGTTTTTACGGCCGAAATTAAATTCAATTGCGTAAGTTTTAAAATCAATACGGATGAATGTTTACAGATTTGTATGATAGTTTTTAGAAGTTGAGAAGTGTCTCCATATCTACTAGAAATATCTAATTGTTGTTATTATTTTCATTGTTTGTTGTCACTATTTACAACCAACTCAACTGAAAAAAAAAAAAGAATTGTTAAAAAAATCATTTATCACAGGACTGGCTATTATTTGACGTTTTTAAATAAAATGGCCAGCTGCAATAATAATAATTTAAAAAAAAAAAAAAAAAAAAAACTATCCTTACTGCTTGTATTTACTTTTTAGAGCGCCATAGGACGAAGTTTTGAAAATATGAAAACACTTCAGAAGTGAACGGACTGAAATGAAGCAAACAGGAGATGTTGTGTTACCCCTTGTCATCTGTTAGACATTCACACATTACACCATATCCCCATTATTATGAGCATGTCATTGCGATACACATTACCCAGTACTACTTCAGTCCTTTATCATTATTAAATATTATTCAGAAGATGCAAGAGCAGACTCATCATCATTATCAGTTTTCTTTGTGCCTAGTGGCACATGAGGCTTCAGAGAGGACTTTCCATGCTTTCCTGTCCTGTGCAGTTTTCCATATCAGAGATGCCGCACTCAGGTCCATGTTGTTTTTGGACTTCCATTTTTTCTTCTTCCCTCTGGTATCCATGTGAGAGCTGTCTAAGCAGGTATGTCAGGATTCATTCTCATAATGTGACCAAGGCTGTTCCTTTTTTTTTCCTTGGTTATCATACTGTCTAGAGTTTCTTGGTTTGTGACTTGAAGTAGTTTAGTGTTTGAGATTGTATCTGGCTAGAAAATGTTGATAATAAAAGCAGACTACTGAGCAAAAATTGTAAATAATACAGAACAGCCAAATAGAAGATGCACTTATGAGGAAAATAAAACCAAGATCATGGCAGCTACTAGAACCCTTTAAATACCATCCATCCAGAATACGATCCTGAAAACCCAATCAACCTTTTTGACACAAAAGCAACAAACAATTGGTGTAGTTGTGAAGGCCCTTTGGGAGCGAATGAACAGTGCTAAGGCACAAATTAATCATTACGGTCAGAGGATAATGGTGCTATGAGTTACCAGGGGATCTGGCTGACTCTCAACACTCATGGGAAAGGTGAGACAGATGTTAAATCAGACAGTTACTGGTACCATCGGAATTGGAACTTCGTTTGCTGCTGAAAATGGGAGACAGAGCGTTTATGGGAGTGTCCCGAATGCTGTTATGTTGATTCTTAATTTAACATTCAACGGACTCCTCAGCCATATCTACTAGAAATTCAAGACTGGGGACTCCGAACTTTGCTTATGTGGACAGGCATAGCAAAATACTGAAGATGTGCTTCATACCTGCTCTCCACATAAAGTAGAGAGGCCCCAGGTCTGGCCTGTTGGCATTCCAGTTGAAACCAAACTGTATGGATCAGTGCAGGGCAATGCGTTGCACCACAACCTTGATACTGGTCTGTAGCTTTCTCATCTGAAAACCACCGGCAGGGAGAGACAAGAAGAATCCTTTATTAGTTTGACTTTTGATGATGCTTTATTTATATCTCTTGTTTTAGACTGACACAGTTTCTGTCATCCCAGAATGTGGGTGTTTGGTTATGGTTCACTGATATGGAAAGTGGACTTTCCATATGAACAGAAAGTTCCTGGGTACATTCGTGGATACTGCAGGCGCTTCTGGCAAGGCAGTGAGGACCATCGAGGAGTGCCTGGGAAGGTTTGTGATGAGTTAAAATAAATGAATAACTATGCAACTGTTGAACTCTTTCAGTCCCAGAAGGTTGTTGCTTTAATACTGTCTGTCCTGATTGTGTAAATTAGAGGGACGGATTTGGGGTCTTCATCCACTGACTACCACGATCGAACGTTATGCGATTGGGTGACCTTCAAGCCTGGCTACCATGATCGCACCCCTTGCGATAGTAACTTCAGACGCTTACCCTCATATTGAAATAGCAATTTTTTGCGATGAATTTGGTCGCTGCCTTTAGCCCATTCATCTATCTATATTTGTGTAAGGGAAACAACTCCTAGTGCTTCTAGTAAACATTTATATAATTTTCATTGTGAGCTATCCTGTCATTGACACACTGACAAAGCTTTCATCATGGCATCAAAAAATCGTGGTGGTCATATTTATCATTTTTCTGTCGCTGTGCATGATATTCTTGATTTAATAATTCTTTGGAAAGTGAAGATGAAGGTGAAGATAAAACTGAACATTTTAATGAGTCATCTTTTATAAATCTAACGAAATGCCATCAAAAAGTCATCGATAGTGAAACAACGGCATGTCGCTTTAAAATCAAGTCCAACTAAGATTCGACCGGCAGTTACAATAGCGGCAGCAGACACTAGTGCGACAGTTTCTGACACTGATAGCTCTATTAAAAGTATTTATTTACAGCCTGTAGATTTTGAAGATATTGTGTCTGAATCTGCACATGATAAAAATATTGCAGTTTTTGATGCAGAATCATCAGCATCTGACGGGTCCGCGAAAGATCTTTGTTACAGAAAAACTGAAGAGAATGGGTTATGAAATATATATCACATACACAGAAGTAAGTTAACACATGGTACTGAAAGAGTTAAATATTGTTTGCATTTAGATTGCTTTAAAATCAGATAATTTGCACCATGTTCACACTCAGATAATTAACAAGAAGATTGTTCACGCTCAGATAATTAACAAGAAGATTGTTCACGCTCAGATAATTAACAAGAAGATTGTTCATGCTCAGTGGCAGCCTGATGAAAATTAAGCCTATGCTGATGGTCATTTTTTTCTAAGCTAACTAGTAAGTTTTTGTGTTTAAAAAAAAAATGATTCTCATAATATTTGTTTGTATAGAAACATTTTTGCTGATTAGATTTGGACTAAGTTGGCCTACATATTTCCATCCTAATGCCATATCTGATTTAAATCATGTCTTTTTATGTTCCCAGCCAGGACGTGTTGCCACTCTGGTCCCCTCTGAAGATGCCTCAGTAAGTGAAACTGAACAAAATATATAATCCTAGAGTATCTGAATAGTGTATTTTCTATTAACACAATTGTACCCCATGCTTGCTCATCTCTCATAGACAGAGCTGATGTAATCAATGCTGAACTGACTTGACTGTTGATAACAAGTTTAGAATACTAACCCATCTACATGACCGAGGAGGAAATTATAGCAAATATGTTTCTGCCATCTTTAACGTGACAATAGGTGACATCATAATCAGCTTTGTATGGGAACAGTCAGTAGGGGGTATCTTGAAATAGCCGCTGCATTGTAGGAATGATCCTGCCTGAGCATGTCCAGTCTTATACACTGGACACTGCAGGCTCAGCAAACACTCATGTGAATTAGGTATAAGCCAAACAGCTTTATGACAGTACAGTAGAACCTCGCTTAACGAGCACCTCTCATAACGAGTAATTCGCATAACGAGCAAAACAATTTGAAAAAAAAAAATGACTTGCTTAACGAGCGACGTTTTGCGTAACGAGTGGCGAGGAGAGGGGAAGTCCCGAATTGTGCACATGTTACATCAGTCTGTGTTTAGCACTCGTTCCAGTAGCATCGTAGTGTCGCTTGTGATCACACATTTTCTCAAACTTGTGTTATATTGTGATATATGTACAGAAATCCTCCAGGCCTACAAGATGACCTCTCTAAAGAATTAAGTTCATCAAGATCCAGTTTCTGCCTCCCAACACCACTCTGTTACTCCAGCCCATGGACCAGCAAGTTATTTCGAACTTTAAGAAGCTCTATACTAAAGCACTTTTCGAGCATTGTTTTCAGATGACTGAAGGGACCAACCTCACTCTCAAAGAGTTTTGGAAAGACCACTTCTACATCGTTGCCTGCCTCAAGATGATTAACAAGGCAGGGGAAGGGGTTACCAAGAGAACTTTAACTTCTGCTTGGAAGAAGCTTTGGCCGGAGAGCTTTGTCGATTTGTGACTTTAAGGGGTTCGAGACAGTACCTGTGGAACCTGTAGGCAACGAGATTGTGTCTTTGGCCACTATCATAGGATTGGAGATGGATAACAGTGATATCGAAGAGCTTGTGGAAGAGCACAGCCAAGAGCTGACCACCCAAGAGCTTATGGAGTTGCACTGTGTTTCACAGCAAGAAGTTTTGGGGAAAAGTTTGTCAGAGGAGGAGGAGGAGGAGGTAACAGAAAAGCAACAATCTTCTGGCGAAATAAGAGAAATGCTGAAAGCATGGCAAACTGTTGCATCTTACATTGAGAAGCATCACCCTAATAAGGAAGTGGCTATGCGTGTTGCAAATTTATTTAATGATAATGCTGTGTCGCATTTTCGCCAAATTTTGAAGCGTCGGCAAAAACAAATGTCTCTGGACATCTTTCTAGTAAAAAAAAATAAATAATTAGCTATCATAATTATTTTTGTATTATTATAATTATATTTTTTTCTTTCTGCAAATCGAATTCGCATTCCAGGTGGGTTTGTTCCGTGTTTGAAGAAAAGATGAAGATGATTCACTCTCCTTATTAATATGTATACAATTTTCTTTGAATAAACGTTATACATAGCATTTTGTGAGTATTTTTTCGACATGGAACGCATTATCGTATTTTAAATTAATTTATATGAGAAAAATTGTTTCGCATAACGAGTGTTTCGCTTAACGAGTATGGTTCTGGAACGAATTATGCTCATTAAGCGAGGTTCCACTGTATCTTCATGCTGAGCAGACTGCAGAACATGTCTTGCAAAACTGTTCTGTCCTGGCTGCGTGGATTTTTATCGTGGTATGGTGCGTCACAGGTCGACCCAGCCTAAAATGGGTACCAGGATGTATGTCCTGGGGAAGTAAAGGCAGCTGGTGTAATGCTGACCACATTACCCACCTAGTGCCAAATGGTCTGTAAAAATATGAGTGCTCTTCCCATTTGCCCGATGTGCCCAAAAATGCATGGAAATGGATCTTTACTTTTAATGCCACATGGCATGGAATTTAAGAAGAAGAAAAAACATAATACTCATAATAACCAAACTGGAAATAACAGCTGAAGGCAAGAGAACAAGAGGCAGACAGATATATAAGTGGGAGGATAACATCAGCACATGAAGAAACAGCAGTCTGAGAGAATTTCCAGGTCAAAAGACAGGTGTTTGAAATTCACTGCAGTCAACATTCACTGTGGATATGGCACCTGATTGATTTGAGTTTGTTATGCAAAGATTAAACATCATTAAAAGTCTATGGTTAAGCACTAGAACAGAAATGCAATCAAAATTTTCAGAGCATGCAGCTTCTCTGTGGCAGCATATGGATGTGAGCCGTGGACTTTCTCCCAGTCCTTAAGGAAGAAAATAGGGGCTTTTGAGCTGAAATGCTATAGACAGATTCTCAGAATATCATGGGCAAAGAAGAGGAGAAATACTGACATTTTAAAAGATCTGAACATCAAGGAAGATTGGCTAATAAACAACCTCTTGTCTCAGAAGCTGAAATATTTTGGTCATATCAAGCGATATGGTGAATGGGAAAAATGATAGCAGAAAATATGGAACAAGGAAGGAAGGGCAGGGGCCGACCAACACGAAGATGGGCACAGGATATAAGTGACCCCATGAGGCGGGAGAGCTGGCGAGAGACCAAGTTTCTTTCCAGCAGACCGTGATGAGAGCGACGTTCTGCAAAGGATCTGCTATATAATGATGATGATGATGCAGACTACATTTGTTTCCACAATGAGGTATTATTATTTCAGAACGGGTTTGAATCCTGGTGTGACGACACGGTTTATTCTAAAATCTCTACTTTTTTATTTATTTTTATGAATGTCAGTTAACACCTGTGAATTTATTCCCCATGCTAACATTTTTCAGTTTATTTTAACTAATGAGTTTAGTTTCACTTTTGTTGAATGTTAAATTGTTAAAGTAGTATAGCTCACAAGTTTGCAACTTCTCAACAGGAGTTGGTATGGGGAGTGGCCTACAAGATACCAGCCTCTCAAGTATCTACTGTAAGAAGCCACCTGGATTACAGAGAAAAGGGAGGCTATAAAGTGGCAGAGGTCACCTTTCATCCGCAGGATTCCGGGGAGAAGCCATTTCCACTAACTCTCTACATTGGGACAGAAGACAACCCATTCTTCTTGGGACCTGCACCACTTGAAGACATGGCCAAGCAGATATTCTATTCTGTGGGACCTAGTGGTCGTAACAAGGATTATATATTCAATTTAGCAAAAGCTCTGAGGCAAATAGCACCTGAAGCCGAAGATCAGCATCTCTATGGTTTAGAGCAGGAACTTCTACGATTAGAAAATGACCAAAAATCAAGTGCTATTCAATGTCTTGATACATGTGATTGTAAATGTTTGATTCTGTTTCATGTTATATATCTAGCATTAAAACAACACTCATAACTTAGTAGGTGACTCAGCATATAGCAGTACTTATTCTTTAGTCCTGTTCTGTTTTTCAGGTTAGGTGTTGAAGAGACATCTGGTGTGAGCCTTGGTGTATGCTACATAGATGCTGGTTGGTTAGTTAGTCGTTACGGTTCTGGCATCACAGCAAATGAGCTTGGCCCATAATTGCTCAACCGCCTATGCCAGTGATTCCAGTCACAAACTGAGTCAGAAACGCTGGATACTTCAAGTGAATGCCATAGCCATATAAAGTGTCCACAGTCAGCAAAACACACACGATTTGATCCGACAAACCATAAGGTGCATGCCTCCTTAAACACACTGCGAGTCTATTGGTTCAGCTTTGGACAGATACTTTTCTATGTAGTAAGCTATTGCTTCATTTGAACTACATGGTTATATATCAGTATTGCCTCTCCACATCTTCAGTATAATTGGATTATAATTATTAATCCACCCATCTTCTTTATGACATTTCAACAAACATATGCGTCACCCATTAATAATGAATTCGTCTAATGATTGAGCAACAAGACAACGATGGAGAGATAATATCCAGAGAGACCTGCAAACACTTGGTGTCACCAACTGGAAAGGGAAGGCCAACCAGAGAGATGAATAGAGGTGGGTGATATCTACAGCAGTGAACTTCAAGGGCTCGGAATGTTGAAGAAGAAGAAGAAGAAGATTGAGCAACAGTTCAAAAGTGTCAGTACATTCTGGATGAGGAAAACTGAATCTGCAGTCTATGGTGATGAGTTTGACACGTTTTTCACAATATCGTATAAATCTGAATCTTCTAGTGGTAATTCACAAGAGCATATTTTGTAAATTCTATGTAAACCATCTTCTGTTTCTAAAGTTGGATATGGTAATGCAAATAGCCAAAAGGAGATGCGGACTGCCATAATTTTGAGATTATGTTCACATAAAAAGTGTTTTATTTTATCTCCAAATATATCATGGCTGTGTACAGTTGGTTGATTGTTAGCCTGTCTAATTTCTCTGCACATACAATCTCCTTCGATCATGTTCCTGTCTAAGGTGTGTGTAGACCATATTTGTCCAACACACTTCCAACATCCTCCAGCCATCTGTCCCAACTTGGATGTTCCACAGGGTTTTCTCCCTCACAAAGGTTAGTTCACAGTCCATAATAACCCCTGTGTTGGTGAAGTCCCCTCACATCGCCATCCGTTCAGCCTTCATGTCCCTGTATCCTGTAACTCGTGTTCACTTCTGTCAGTATTGCACTTGGTCACCTTACACTGTCATCATGCCCACACATACAACCATGCAAACACATGGGCTGTCGCCCCTTGACACTTAGCTTGGTGCCATGATGCCCGTACCATTCTTGAGGCTTGAACTTTGAACAACGGATCAACATCATGGCACAAGGGTAGTAACTCTTAAGTGCTTCTGACTCAAACCTTAGTCCGAAGTAGCTCAATGCAGTGCACGGGCTCCATAGCACCGGCGAAGATCCTGAAATATTTTGGGTGGATTTTTAACTCCAAATTTTGACCGGGCTGTGCCGTTAGGCTACTCTTTTAGATTTCCAGCTGCCAAGTATCAATACATACCGGCGTCCGATTTCATTACCCAGAGACCTGGGGGAATTACTAGAAGTTCACTTGAAAAAATCCCAGTCTTCACCAGGGCCTGAACCCAGGACCTCCAGCACTCGTGGCGGACGCCATGCCTCGAGACCACGCAGCCCCCTTAGAATCCTTTTCTCTGGCTGAGCCCTTAACCTACCGTCTTACAACTTAATTGTAAAAACTCAAAAGGACTAGAGTGTCTTGTATGTTCTTCTGTCAGGATTAAAATAATGTTACTGAGCGAAGCTAAAGTGGGTAGATTTTTAGTTTGCTGTGAGATGTAAAATTTATGAGAACTTCATATTCTGCTGTTTTAATTTCACCTTCTGCTGAACACATTCACTACCCATTTAAAGTCATTAGGCACTTTTTCTTGGGTTGCTGGATAATAAGGAAAAGGAAAACTTCTGTTTCTGAATGTAATTTCTAGTTTTCTTAATTTGATTCTACTTTTTTGTTACCTAATCTTTAATTTTTGACAAACTTTTTTATTTCCCTTGAGTGGCCAAGATGTTTCTGGGAAGTGTATGCAGTGCCCTTAAGGCTCAGTGGAGTACTGGCTTGGAACCGCTGGCATAACAATTTTGAAATATGAGAATTCTAGCATAGTGGAACCAGTTAGATACAATACTTGATCTCAAAATGTAGTGTTTTTTTGGCTTTATCATTATGTTTTATCATACATAGATGCTTTGTAACTATACTTGTTGAAGTTTAACCATGCATCTACTTATAAATTAGATTTACATACATATTTCTGTATATGAGATAGTGCACAAAATAAATTGTTATTATAAAATAAACTATTTTAAGAACATTGACATATCATGTATTTTTCTGAGATCATGAACTTTATTATATACATCACAGGAGATCTAATAAAAATGACTATGTTATGAAAATTATCTTCAGTGGTTTTTTTATTAATTATTAAATTTGTATTATGTAGAGTTACCTTAGAGTGGCGGCTGCATCAATTGACATGGGAATGCACAATATTCAGTGCCGTTTGTGATAACATAAATCATGACATTTTCCTAACGATGGGGATGGAGCACTTACTGAAGTGCCCCGAGTGCTGTGATGTAAATTCTGAATTCAACATTCAACTTCCTCGTAATTTCCATCGCCTCATGGCTACCTATACAACAGCACCCGTAAGCATATAACGACCAACTATTTATCCCACTAGGACATCACAGTTAGAGATAAAACACCCAGTGACACAAAGTACCACCATTCAGACGAAAGAAACCCAGTTTTTTAACTGTCAGGTTATATTAGGGCCCCTGGCAACAACCATGGTGGAGCTGCAAAATGATGAAAAATTTGTCCCATATGGTAACGTCAGGTAAGCTTATTCAACAACTTTGATACCCTTACAATTGCACAATGTGCAGACATGGCGGGTATGATTATATATAGTATCAATTTTGGGGAGACATTTATGGTGAAAAATGTACTTTGTTGTCATTCTGACATCCTAATAGCATTATAATGACGTCACTTTGCTCTCTGTGGCTGTGTCAACGAAACCCTTGTTTTCATAGTCAAAGGAAAGGAAATAAGTTATTTCTATGCTTCTTTCATATTTAGGGATTATGTACCTTTAAGTATATTTAAAAAAAAAAACTGCATAAAATGATGGCCCTGAAAATGAAAAAAATCAACTTTTTTAGTAACTTTGAGACTACAATGACAAAATTGCTAACAGCTTACCTGTCTGCTTGGTGGTCACAGATTTTAACCCCCTGAACTTTCATAAAAACTGACCAAGACTCCAGATTTCTTCTGCGTCTTTTTTCTCTCTAGTTTCTTAGGGTAGAGTTTAAGAGAATTATAACAATGCTTTTCTTTTTTAATGAAATCCTTCCACACACAAAAAGTCCCTTCTTAAGGATTTTTACGGGGAAAAGGGTTCTATGAATCAAATGACCGACTCTGAAACTGACACCAAATCCTTAAGAGTATGATGCAGATGGCTTAACTACTTCGCCACAATTTGGGGTTATGTAAAACTAGCTACCTAAACCGTGTTACCGGGCCGTGTTACCGCAGTCGATAGGAGACTCACTTTCAAATCCAGCTGCGACACACTGCAGCACAGGGCCGGTGTTCGAAACTGGGCGGTTCCTGGGGTTCACCCAGCCTCTAGGATATGGTTACCAGAGTTAACACTCTAAGGTAAATGGAGGAACGTTGCTGTAGCTACGGAGTTACATGCGGACAGCGACACAGGCGGACAGTTTCTTATCAGCCGTCCATACTGGTGGCAGAGCACTTATGGTTTATAACCGTGTGCCCCCCATGTGGGTTTCCGGGGCCCTATTATAGGGAAAACAAGAATAGACCCACTGCCTACCCAAAAGTATGTCGTAAGAGTCGACTAATTGGGAGCTTCCTTCGAAGTCGGAGTGCATCTGCCTGAGAGGCAAGAAACCAACAGTCTGCACACAAATGCGTCAGATCTGTCAAATAGATGCACACGCAACACTCAGATTCTGGAACAGGACTGCAGTCCAAAAGTGGACGAACAACCAGAACTTTCCACCAGAGTTTACAGCAGGTGAACGCAAAGAAGAAGATAACCGTGTGCAATAACACTGGTTCACATCTCCTGACTTCGCCTTTACCTTTTTACATTTAAAGAATAAAAATATTATCCTACAAGATTCATCAAATCAAAGGGTTGATCTTCCTTTAATTCCTCCTGTTATTGGTGTTCAAATGATAAGGCTACCTACCTCTAGGAAGTCTGTGGTGCGACTCATGTTATTCCCTGTTCCATACAGTTTAGTTTCCATTGGAATGCCTACTGGCCAAACCTGGGATGTCTCCCCTGTTCCATTCAGCTTAGTTTCCATTGGAATGCCTACTGGCCAAACCTGGGATCTCTCCTGTTCCATACAGCTTAGTTTCCATTGGAATGCCTACTGGCCAAACCTGGGTCTCCCCTGTTCCATATAGCTTAGTTTCTATTGGAATAGTTAGTTAGTTAGTTATTCCTCTTGTGCCAAAGATGGCGCATAGGGCAGAGGTCATAGCTTTCCACGTCTGTCGGTTCGTTGCCACTTGATGTAGGTCTTGAGTGCGACTGAGACCTATGGTTGAGCTCTCCCTTGTGATGGTTCTACGGAGAGTTTCTTTTGGTCTTCCCTGTTTTCTTTTACCCTCTGGTGACCATATGAAGGCTTGGTGGGGAAGTCTCTGTATGTCCATTCTGAGTACGTGACCGATGTAATTCCAGCGACGCATTCTAATAAAATCAGACACACATATTTTTGTTTTGTTTCCTGTCTTATAGATGTATTGGACCGAAAAGTCCGACCAGTGAACATTCAATAGCTTTCAGAGGCATCTATTCTCGAAAGCGACTAGTTTCTTATCGATTGATACTGATGATTTCCAACTCTCACAACCATAAGTTAGCACTGGGATCACACAGGAATTGAAGACCTTAAGTTTTGTGTTGTTGCTGAGTGATCTTGACTTCCAAATGTTTGATAGTTTGTTAAAGGCACTTGATGCTAACGCTTACCGGCCAAACCTGGGATCTCTCCCCTGTTCCATATAGCTTAGTTTTTATTGGAATGCCTACCGGCCAAACCTGGGATCTCTCCCCTATTCCATATAGCTTAGTTTCTATTAGAATGCCTACTGGCCAAACCTGGGATCTCTCTACAGCAATGTAGAGATCATGTCTGTAGTACAAGTTCAGTATTCTGTGGTGACTGTCCACATGGGCAAAGTTCTGTACAAGCAACTGCAAAATCTGTTGTGTCCGGTACCAGTCTAAATATAATGGTCAGTTTCTTTCGTGTGAGAAGGTTGATGTGGTCTTCAGGATTGTATCCTGGATGGAAAGTATTCCACTGGGTTCTAATGGCTACTGTGCATATGTGTATCCTGTATCTCGCTGTTCTGTATGACTTTGTTTTTAATAAGTGGTCTGCTCTTTCATTTCCCTCAAATCTTGCAAGGCTTATGAGTTGTTTCAGGGCCTATAACTTCATTAGGAGCTGAAAACCATAAGAACTTCTGGTCCAATATGGCCGATAAGCAGGCCAGCCACTGATGCTTAGAAAAGTTATTTATTTCTAGCCATGGTTTGCTGATGCAATTTTCCAATTTCTGGACTGGGAGTTCTGCAGCCCAGCTACCATGCTGGTGTGACACTATGAACAGTGGATTTTATTTGAAATGGTTTTTAAAAAAAAAGTTGCGCCAGCAATGGTTTATATTGTGACCTCTTCTAAAAAGGTGTGTGTTATGCATTTGATGCATGCAGTGCTGGCTTTCATGACTGGCCGCTTGCATCCACAGTTAGTTGCAATTCTGCTGAGGGATTGATAACTGTTTGTGTTGGCACACCTAATGGCTACCTTATGCATTTACTTTGCATGTGCAAGCTTCAGGACTTTGCCTGGACTGATATATTTTTTCACTAGTGAAGGATGTTTTGTGTGATTTCCACTGGTATAGGAAACACAGCAGTTGTGGGGTGACTCACCTGCACCTGATGATCAACTAACCATAAGAAACTGCAGTACAACTGGAATTGTTTAAAAAAAAAAAGATAGAAAGATCCCCTTCCACATGCCTTAGTATTGGGTACAATATACAAGTAAAGTAAAGGACCCTTTTCCAAGCCTTTCAGGCGTATGGGTATATAGGGCTAGACCTATATTTTATTGACAAAATGGCACTTGGTGGGTGATGTGGTCAGCATCACAGCAGCCGCGTTTACTTCCCAGGACTGCACCTGGTACCCACTCAAGGCTGGGTCGACCTGGGAGCCAAGGTTATTTTAAAAAAAAATCCAGCCAACTGCCAGGAACCGAACCTACAACCTTCCGATCCGCTGGTGAGCAACTGGGTATGAATATGTTGGACCTATATTTTATAAACCAATAGGCACTTGGTGGGTGATGTGGTCAACATCCTGCTAGCCACTTTTACGCTCCCAGGATTTTACCCGGTACCTCCTGTTTGATTCTGTGTCAACCTGGCAGCCTAGGTACAGTTTTAAAAAAAAAAAAGTCTGGCTCTGTTTGGATCTGAACCCACAACCTTCAGATCCGCAGGCGAACTACACCACGGTGGCGCCACAAATAAGGATGGCGGCCTCAACCAATTACCTTCTTATCTTATAGTGCAAGAAAGGAAGAATGAATATTTATGTCAGAAAAAGTCATACATCTACTTAACGTAAGTTAAGATTTATTCGCAACAAATCTGTTAGCTGAACACTGAACAAAAATACAACCAAAACAAAAATGATATTTTTTGTGACGACATAAATTGTCAGCATTTAAAACAGTAATAAACCATATGGCAAACAGCTTTACAACTAAAACAAAAATCCTTTGTATTTTAATGACAAAAATTGTCAGAATTTATAACACCATGTGACAATCTGTAATGCAATTCAACACACATTTTAATGATATTAAAGCATGTGACAAAATATTACAAGTCAACACACATTTTAATGACATTAAGTCTTTGAGTCCCAAGGAACACATCATATGTTCATAGATTCCTCCTACCTAGAGAGGCCCAATGAACGCATGATGCGCCAATTTTACGTCTCTCTTGACTACCCATTGGGCCTGTGATGCTAAACCCCCGGGACTCAAAGAGTTAAAGCACATGTTCAAATCTGCACTGAGGTGGGTTGCACAAACTTGATCTGATCTGTCAGATCAACCAGATCTCAAACAAGTGCCAGGAAATGTCCTTGGAAATAAAGGTGACCGGAATTATGTTGACAGCATCACCCAACGAGCGCCGATCAATATAAAAAAAATATAGGCATTTCCAAAGGACACAAGAGTGGAAAAAAGATCCTTTTCACTTTGTAAACTCATTGGGGAAATGGCTTAAATATTAGACAGAAGATCATTATAAAATGTTGAATTTACTCTCTCCGTGTCTCTCACACATATACACGTTACACTTTCAGCCACATACAACAAGCAGAAAATATGTTTCAGACGTTTCACATAGTAGCATACTATTCATATAACAGTTCACTTATCCTGAAGTAGTTTTCACACAATAGCATATTGTTGATACAAGAGTTCGCGGATCTTGAAGTAATCTTCACACAGAGTTCCTTCTAGTTTCATTTTGCCACCAGCATCCTGAAAGAAAATAATTCACAGATGATGTCATTACTTCTGATTTTTCTGCATTCAACCCCTTATAAAGGTGGCTCAAACATCAAATTTTAACAAATCCTTAAATCTTCATATTTTACTTAGTTAGTTGGGTTATGATCACTGCATTCCCGGACATGTCCATAGTTGCTCAGATCCTCCCCTCAGTATGAACCCCAGCATTCAGTGGCTAAAAGTATCAGTTCTATGTTTATTAAAAAGTCTGATGTTGTGGCTGGTGTGCGCCTTTTTCTTTTTCTCTTTTGTTGTTGCTATGCCGATCTTAATTCTAAGTCTATCATTGTCTATCAGTGATGTGGATTCGAGAATGTAAATCAAATAATATGAGAATCAACATCGAAAAGACAGACAGGAAGAAAGAATAAGAATTTAAATACAGCATTACAGTAAGTAAGTAAGTAAAGGACCTTTTCCACACCTCTAGGCGTATAGGGCATATAGGGCTAGACCTATATTTTTATAGACCAACGGCACAAGATGGGTGATGTAGTCAGCATCACGCCGGCCGCCTCTACTTCCCGGGATGCACCCGGTACCCACTCAAGGCTGGGTCAACCTGGGAGCCAAGGTCATTTTTGAAGAAACAGCATTACAGCATACATATATCTATCAAGGGGTGAGTGACTGAGAAAGACAAACGAGAATTGTATCAATGGGTGAGTGACTGAGAAAGACAAATGAGAATACTTTTAACAAAGGCTGGCGACAAAGAAAGACAAATGAGAATACTTTTAACAAAGGCTGGTGACTAAGAAAGACAAATGAGAATACTTTTAACAAAGGCTGGTGACTAAGAAAGACAAATGAGAATACTTTTAACAAAGGGTGTTGACTAAGAAAGACAAATGAGAATAATTTTAACAAAGGCTGGCGACTAAGAAAGACAAATGAGAATACTTTTAACAAAGGCTGGTGACTAAGAAAGACAAATGAGAATACTTTTAACAAAGGGTGTTGACTAAGAAAGACAAATGAGAATAATTTTAACAAAGGCTGGCGACTAAGAAAGACAAATGAGAATACTTTTAACAAAGGCTGGTGACTAAGAAAGACAAATGAGAATAATTTTAACAAAGGCTGGTGACTAAGAAAGACAAATGAGAATAATTTTAACAAAGGGTGAGCAACTAGACAAGCAAATGAAAACATTCTCTAATATAGGGTAGCTAAGAAAGTCAAATGAAAATATTCTTCAAATTCTGGGTGAATGACCAAGTTAGACACACCAGAATAACCTTTTAACTAAAAGTAAGTGATTAAAAAAAAAAAAAAAAGACGTTTAATAACACTCTTAGAAAGTATGAGTGACTAAGAAAGACAAAAGACTAAGAAAGAGAAATGAGAATACTCACTCTTCTGACAGCCACTTGGTTGTTACAGACCAGCCTGCCGCCAGCAAACTCACACTGGACACCAGCGCTGATGAGCACAATCTTCAGGTCAGAGAGCTTGGGCTCGTTGATGAAGACTGGGGTGTGAGGAGGAACCTAGACATTAAACAAAAAACTTATCAGGGATCACTTTGAAAAAAAAAAATACCAAAATATATTCTATTGCTAATGTAACTTGGGGAGCCAAGGTGTAACGGCTAGGTGCTTCGTCTTTCGGCCTGAAGATCGTAGGTTAAGCCTAGGCTGTTTTTTTTTTCTCGCCATCTGATACGATCACCAGAATCACGGATCAGTTCATTGTTTTTGCCTCACCCCATCCATTTAGCCAGACCATACAGATAGCATACGAGGCGGACACCATACCTCGAGACCATGCAACTCCCACTTGAATTTAAAGATAATGGAAATATACTGCAATTTTATTTTTTGGTAAAAGAAATAACAACGAATGTTTCTGAAAATAAAAAAAATTATGCTTGTATAGTCTTCTAGAAGGCTCTATGAAAAGAAAACTGCACTAATAGAAAAACAAAATGACATTTTTTTTTCAGATAAAAAACAATGTACGTTTATTCATATACAAAATTCTACATTTATTCAAATACAGCCATGTCATCTTCTTCTAGAACATTGTCATAACTCTTCAAATCCTGAATTCCGGTCTGAATCTGTTCATTATCAAGTGCACACACCAGTGGCGTCAATACTTTGATTGGCCATACTATTCTCTTAAGTGTTTCTCAGGGAAACACAGTAGTGGTCGAGGTTTCAACTCTTCATTGCAAAATTACATGAAATGTCCCTTGCTGTCCCATTTAAAGACTAGTGAACAAGCAATTAGTTCCGGCACTATCCAGAAACATGCAGACGCAGTAAATGCAAATGCAGTCACTTAGGGTGCCAACACCAACAGCTGCCAAAAGAATTACAATCTGTCAATGGCAGATATTATAAATGAACTTCTCTTTGCAGATGACCAATGTTTGTTACAAGAAGAAGAACAAAAACTACAACATGTTGATTCATTGCTCACTAACTGTACAAAATTTGACATGAAAATAAACACCTCAAAAACTGAAGTAATGACCATAGGAAAGAAACACAGTAATGTAAACATAAAGATCAATGACATACAATTAGAACAAGTTCAAGAATTCAAGTACTTAGGATGCATATTTACAGAAGATGAAAGACTCGATAAAGAGATACAGGCTAGAGTTCAAAAAGCCAATGCAGTCAACTACCAACTGGCCCCACTTCTTCGTCATCCAAAGATCTCGTTACCAGCCAAACAACGGATGATCAACAGCATTTTCATCCCTACGTTATGTTATCAGTGCCAAACGTGGACAATGAACAAATCACATATGCAAAAAATAACTACGTGTGAAATGCGATGTCTCCGAAGAGTCACCAACAATACACGAAGAGACAGTACACGAAGAGACAGAGTCACAAACGTCAGCATTAGAGACAAAGTTGGAACAAGAGCATGCATGGAACATATTGAAAGACAGAGAATGAAGTGGTTTGGTCATTTAGTAAGAATGCAACCGGATCAGATTGCCTATAAGGCCTTTTACAATAGAACATCGGGAAGAAAGGCCAGAGGAAGACCCAGGAAAAAATGGATAGATGGAGTAGCTGAATACGGCCAGAAGATCCAGAAAACTGTCACTCAAATCATGCGAGAGGCACAAAACAAATATTTTAAACCACGACACTGGGTTGCAACCCGGTAAAAGTGAAGAAGACAATAGATAGATAGATAGAATGGCTGAAGTGGGCCAGTTATGAAAAATTGGCCACATGAGATATTGATGCATGCAACTGGTCATTGGCTCTTAGATTATCCCTGTCTGCATGTGGGAGGCAATGTTTCATTCTTTTGAAGCCCCATCCTGGCTGTTGCTGGGGTCCCTAATATAACCTATGAGTTAAACTGGGTTTCTGGGACCTGTTCCCTGGTGATACTCATCTGAATTGTGACAATTTGTGTCGCTGGGTGTTTATCGCTCAGAGTGATGTCCTGGTGGGGTATAACGTCAGCCAGTCATCAGCTATTTTCTTAATATCTCAACACAAACCTCCGCGGACACAGATAAAAGAAAATTCCACAGTGGTGCAGCAAAACTTAACTCAGTAGCTTAGAGAACTAAACCGTGTACTCTGGTTCACATGTGGAATCTGTGTTAGCAAACAAAAAAAGAAACACTTCAAGGCTAACAGACTGCTTTTATATCCACCGTGTCAGACTGGAGGACTGATCTGATAAGTATATTAATGTAGGTAAGATAGGCAGGCCAACAGCAAAGCCAACCTGTGATGTGTACTCACCAATGAAGGCGGCAATCCTTCCAGTGTTGGTGGGATCATACTCAGTTTATCTGTAAATATCAAAACATTAATTCCTGAGAATATAATTTAACAGAATTTTATAAAACACAGCTATGAGTGCAAAGAAACAAATTATAAACAGAATATTCATTCCAACATTAAACTACCAGTGCAAAACATGGACACTATTTCTGAAACATCATGCAAAATCAGCACTTGTGAGATGAGATGCCTGAGAAAAGGCGCCAACATAACCATCTTAGATCGAGTGAATAATGATACAATCATACAGACTGTGTGTTTGACACCTTGTACTAGATTTATCGAAAAACAGCAGATCAAGTGGTTTGGCAATCTCATTAGAATGCAGGAGGATCAAATACCATCACAGGCACTACATCTCAGAAGATCAGCTACAAGAGAAAGAGGATCAACAACATTAAAGACACTTAACGCCTTTATGGCATGACAACAACCAGTGGCAGCTAGCGTGCACTGGATCAAACAATTTTCCCCCCGCAATGCTTAATAACAGAAGTGGTTCATGATCATGATGATGATTTATAAATGTGAAAAATGAAATTAATTTAGAAATAAAAAAATAACAATATGAAATTACTGAAAATATGTAAAAACAAAATCATTGAGCTATCACTTTATAGAGGAATGTTGAGAATACCCTGGACAGATAAAAAAAAAAAAATGAGGATGTCTTGAAAGAAACTGACTCACAAAGAGAATTGATTGCTCACATCAGAAAGAAACAGTCTACATTCTTTGGCCATGTGATGAGAAGAAGAAAACTGGAGTACATCGTGACAGTAGGAAAGTTGGAGGGAAGGAAAGGCGGTGGGAGACCAAGAGAAAAGATACTGGACAGTTTGACATCATAGCATGGAGGATCATCTGTATTAGAGTTGACTAAAAGTACAAGAGACAGAAGGCTGTGAATAGACATGACTACCAACGCCACACAGCATGGACTTTAAGAAGAAAAAGTCAAAGGTTAAGCACTCTTTTCATGCCGGTGGCACATCGGGCAAATGATATTATATAGTTTTTTTTTAGATCAATCAGCACTTGATGGGTGATATGGTCAGTGCCACAACGGGCACTTTTACTTTCTAGGTACCTATTTTATTTGAGGCTTGGTTACGCTGGCAGAAAAGTTCAGTTTTGAAATAAACTCCCTAAGAGTTTTGGGCCCGCAGGCAAGCGTCTAGCTACTACACAACAGCAGCTCCTGTCTAGAGTCTAAAACATAACAAAATTGAATAATATGGGATTTTGAAAACATTATAATACACTGAATTATATGTGATTCTGAAAAACGATATTTTACTGAATTATATTTAGTTCTGAAACATTACAACACTGAATTATCGGTCATTAACTTCTTCTTCCTCTTCACGTTCACCTGCAGTAAACTCCGGCAGAAAGTTCTAGTTGTTCAACAACCTCTGGACTTAAGACTTGTTCCAGAACCAGAGTGTTGCATGCACAGACTTATTTGTATACAGACTGTTCATTCCTTGCGTCTCAGGCTGATGCATTTTGACTTTGAAGGAACCCACTCCACTCTCTCAACCCTCATTAGCAGACTCTTACAACATTCTTATTTGGGAGGCAGCGAGTCTATTCTTGTTTCCCCCACAATGGGGCCCCGGAACCTACATTGGAAATCTGTCAATACAGAAAGTTACATTTGACTGAATTGTATGTGATACTGAAACATTACACAGCTAAATGATATATGATTCTGAAGTATTACAACCCTGAATTACTTGTGATTCTAAAACATGACACTATATAATACCACTGGTCTGCAAATCGCAGCTCGCGAGCCGCATGCAGCTATTTAGTGACCAGTGAGCCACAAATTGGTTTCGACTCCGGAAAACATGGTTCATAACAGGTTTTTGAAAAGAAATTTGGCTCTCAAAAACTTTTGATTGTCCTGCTGCTGAATTTTGCCTCTTTCGACTAAAGAGTTTGCCGACAACTGAATACTATACTGACAATTTTAAAACATTAAAACCAAGACACTCTGAAAACATTACAACATATTTCATAGTTCTTTCTTCCTTTTTAAACTGGCCTCTCATTACCTTTCTTCTTCTTAATTTTCTCTTCACTGACTCCTTCTTCTTCCTCATCCTCATCTTCAGGCTCAGCTGGAGGCAGGTCAAGCTGACCATCAACCCAAGCAAGCTCCATGTCCCTGGTCTTGGAAAACACCAGGGAACTCACCAGCTGATCTCGCAGACGTACCTGTGGTGATACAGCAGTGGATATCATAGATTATTACAAACCATTTCAGTTTATATTAATTGTAATACATCAGTGGCTATTATAAATTACTACAAACAATTTCAGTTTCTACCAAGCATATCACAGGGAGCCGTGAAAGTGTAGCAAATTGATGCTCGGCTGCCAACCAGAAGGTCTTGGGATTGAATTAGCATTGAGTTGATTATTTTTTTGGACAGTAGCTGCAGTGTAGCGGCTAGAAGCTCGGCTGCGGATCCGAAGGTCGTTGGTTAGCCGTACGTTTGTCAAATATGGTTATATGCAAATTATTATAGTCCAAACAGCAGCCCATGAGCGATATAGGTTATCATGTAGGCTATTTTCACTTCCCATCCTGTTACCTACCCATTTTGGGCTTTTTCGACCTGGGAGTTAAGGATGTTAATTTGTACCAAAATCTGCCAGGTTAGAACTACATAACTATATTAAATTTTGCCACAATTAAGGGAAATAATAACACGACGAAAGGGGAATTAGGGGAAAGTAACCAAAATATAGAGAACAGTCATCTTTGCGTTAAATGAACTAGCTGGAAACTCCTACTACAGGTTTTGGTTGTCTTTCCACGATTTTAATGGACTCTGATTAATGAAACAAACCTAATTATGTATCTACGAAAAAAACTCTACATAAATGAACGTGAAACAACTTTTCGTCTTCGCGTTCATCGGCTGTAAAGTTCCGGTTGTTTATTTACATCTGGAATTTAGCCTTGTTCCAGAACCTGAGTGTTGTGTGCACTTCCATTTTACACAATTGATTTATTGATACGCAGACTGTTGGTTCCTTGCCTCTCAGGCAGATGCACTTCCACTTCGAAGGAAGCTCCCAGTTAGTCAACTCTTACAACATGCCTATTAGGGGTTCTATTATGGTTTTCCTCATAATGCTCCCCCCCCCGAACCCACACAGGGAGAAATAAAACTTGTGAAACTTAACATCAATGAGTACTGACAGGTATGCTACAGTCCCCACATTCATGGAAACCCTGCGGGTGTGGCTTTCAAGGGTGTCCCAATTATACATTCTTTGAAAGCTGAACAGGGTATCTGGGACCTGCCTCGTCATTCAGACTGAGATTCTTTAATAGGGTGTCAAACGTTTCAGACAGAAGCCTGGGGCATGAAGGCATGGATAGAATCGCTGGTAAGTAACATAGGGGTTGTAACTGGTTCACTGTCAATTGGCATGTCCTTAACATAACATAGCTCTCTTCACAACGCGCCTGAAAGTCTCTCCTTCTCTAGCCAATTCTCCACCCCTATGTGGTTTTATAGCCAATGAATCTTCAATGTCTTATATCCATCTTCACGGTGGGGTCTACCTCTACATATCACAGCTCTCTTCAGGCCATCATACTTGGTTACAGTTACCATAAGTATAACTTTTTTTTTGAAGGTAGGAAGGGGGGAAAAAAGGGGGTTCGGGGAACAATGATGCCATATAAACAATAAACTATACATAATCAAGACCTCTTATAGATGGGCTCTTTAACTTTTTGGATCCCATAAGGCTTTGTATATATTTCCAAGGGGTACAGTAACCATTATGAACAATCGCAAGCGTATAAGTTAGCGAAGATGTCTAGGATGTGCTCTGCTGATTTGTTGATCAGGATGCAATTCTTGAAGCCGCAGATGGTCAAATCTTCAGGTGGTAACCAGTTATGTGTGAACACACATGACATGCAAGCATTCATGTTTTTCATGCATATATTTATAAATACACGATTTGTAAAACATGTATGCATACGTGGTTGTGCACACATAAGTATACAAATGAAATAATGCTTGCATATACAGAGAGCATACATTCAGACAAACGAAACATACATAGATATATAAAGACAGCGTGTGCATAAATAAACATATATATAAATACATATAAAGACAGTGTGTGCACACACAAACATATATAAATACATATAAAGACAGTGTGTGCACACACAAACATACATAAATATATAAAAGAGACAGTGTGTGCACACACGAACATACATAAATATATAAAGAGACAATGTGTGTACACACAAACATACATAAATATATAAAGAGACAAATATACATACATGTATATAAAGACAGCGTGTGCATACACATACATATATTTAAAGACTGTGCACATACAAACATTCATAAATACAGCGTATGCACAAACATACATACATACATAAATAATATATATATATAAAGACAACGTGTGCACAAACATAAATATACATAAAGACAACGTGTGCACAAACATACATACATAAATATATATAAAGACAGCATGTGCACACACAAACATACATACATATACATAAAGACAGCCAGTGCACACACAAACATACAAACATATACATAAAGACAGCGTGTGCATACACAAACACAGGCACATACATAGACGAGTAAGTAAAAAACCCTCTTCCGCCAATGGAGCATGCGATGCCAGGCTCATATTTCTGTAGACCAACATGCAGTCCATGAGTGATACGGTCAACAATACCCACCGGCTGGCTGCCTTACAACTTTAAGCACATACATACACACACACATTGATAAACAGATGATACTATGCCCAGAAAGACAAGTAGCCACAAGTGTATTCAGACGTGTATGTTAAGGAAGACACACAGTGTACACACACACACACAGAGACAGTGAAGGGTGTACAGACAACGGTGTACAGAGAAGGGTGTACAGAGAAGGGTGTACATTCAACCCCGCCTACCTGGTAGATGTGCCTCTCTGTGGTAGCATCAATGATGTCCCCAATGTTGGGACAGTAGACATTTCCCTCGACAAAACCGGCGGTCTGACAGTATTCTCCCAGTGCCTTGGTGGCCTCGTCTGAGCCGTGGATCAAAATCTAAAGGCCAGATAAAAGATAATTTAAAATGCTGAATTCGTCGTATGGTGCAGAAACAGAACAACTGAAACAATTACTAATATACTATACAATTACTGGGAGTCGCCGTGGCCGAGCGGCTGGACGCTGGCGTGCGGATCGGAAGGTCGCGGGTTCGCTCCCTGGCGGACCCGGACCCAGGTCGACTCAGTCTTGAGTGGGTACCGGGTGCAGTCCCGGGAAAGTTGTGTGGTTTCTCTAGGCAAATTTACGCCCAGTAGTCTAAAGGCACATAGCCCGCAGCTGGGATCGAACCCGGCACCTCGGCATTACGAAGCGTTCGCATCGACTTAGCCACAGAGCCCACAAAATGTATCTACATGTACAATATATGGGGTCTTTAAACACATTACACACATGAAAAGATGCATGCAAGTTATATGTGATGCCTGAAGTTACTACAGTTGCTCAAAGGATTCCTATTAGCCTCCAGTCACTTTTTAAAACCCAAACAGAATACATAGCTACCGTAATTGGATATAAATATGGCGGAATATGTCACGTAATGATGACGTTTTTAAACAAGTAACCTCTCATCATCATCATGTAGCAGGTCCTTTGCAGAACGTCGCTCTCATCACGGTCAACCTGCAAGAAACTCGGTCATTTGCCAGCTCTCCCGCCTCATGTACACTCATACTCAAGAGTCACTTATATCCAGTGCCCATCTTCGTGTTGGTCCCTCCTTCCTGGTACCATGCCTTCTGCTAGACCAAAATATTTTATCTTCCGAGACAGAATGCTGTTCATTAGCCAATCATCCTTGATGTTAAGATCTTTCAAGATGTCAGTATTTCTTCTCTTCTTTGTCCAAGATATTCTGAGAATCTTCCTATAGCATTTCAGCCTAAAAGCCCATATTCTCTTTCTTAAGGACTGGGAGATAGTTCACGACTCATGCATACCAGCCTCTATGAAAATGTTTATGCATTTCACTGCTTGGCGATTAATGTTTATATATATATATATATATATATATATATATAATATATATATATATATTATATATTATATATATATATATATTAGCTAACTCTGTATATAAGAATGGCCATTTATTAAGCACATTAAAAGACATCGACGGATAAACAGACAAACGAGCAAAGTCAGATAAGAATATTCTTTAACGGACAAAAAGAAACCAACAGAAAGATAAAGACAGAAACAAATGGTCATAGAAAGACATGATCGGGCACGAACAGACAGAGAGACAAAGACAGTAAAGAAAGCTTATATGAGCACACTGCCGACTGAATATACACAAAGATAGATAGACAAAGACAAATGACAATAGTTATGTAAGCCCATTATACGACCTGAACAGTCAGAGAGGCAGACAAAATCAGATAAAAATGGCCATAAGTCAACATACAATTAACGCCCAAGGACAGAATTTCCCGACTTCCAAGGACAAACACAACAGTCCATTTTCGCTTCCTAAGACGCAACGTCCTTTCGTTATTATCACCCCTCAAAATGGAGTCATATGTTTGTGTCAAATCTAAAAACTCCGGGAGGAATAATAGAAAGCCAAGAGATTCCCTACGTGCCGCTGTCTGTGCCAGAAGAACTCAATGTGCTGACTTAGAATCGATAAGCCACATAGTCGCTGCTAGTTAGCGGGATTTGGCAACTAAAAGGCACCCCGACCATCACTTCAGTTTTCGGTAATAACATGGTTTGAAACATACACCCTCGCACGCACAGAAAAACACGCACGTGGGGGGGGGGGGGGGGGGAAATCGGGTGTTGTTTTTGTTGTTGTTATTGCTTTTAGTGGTTACTGAGGGTAAAGGGGGGGGGGGGGGGGAACTCTGAATGAAATTGGAGAGGAAAACAACTGAGATATCTGAGGTTACAGTACTGCGACGAATACGTATAAATGATTGCTAGAGTGAATTGCCGGGATATTGAAACAAAGTCATATTCTTTAGCCCTCTACCTCATCGTGATCCCCATCGCTTGCCTATATGTAACTGCTTCGAGATACCAGCTAAGTGATTTGTGTATTTGTGTAGTACTGTTTGATTTCTATGTGCTGATGAAGGCTCCATAGCCGCAACGTTCACGTTTTGTTTGCATCTGTAACACTGTGAAGCTTGCTAAAATACTTTTCGTTCGGTTTTATATCTTTTCTTGATGACCCTATCTGTAGCTCTGTTGAAAATAGGAGTCTAACTCAAATCCTGTTTTATAATCCCGTCCGCTACTCCATCTTTGTCTCCACCGTTGCGGTCATTTTACTCAATGCCTCTGGGCGCATCTAAGGCAACCCCTGTAATACTACCACGAGCAGTCAACAATCCGAGAGACAGACAACTGTATTGTCTCAGACACATATAGATACGTGGTTTCCAGAGAGATAACAGCGAAACATCGTTTAAAAAAAATTTACCTTTATAATTGAAGTAGTATGAAAAAAATTATTCACAGGAATATAACGCCAGGCAAAGTTAAGTTTTACTAATTGTCGCAATAAATAAATAGGGGAGGCTGCATGGCCTCGAGGCATGGTGTCCGCCTCGAGTGCTAGAGGTTCCGGGTTCAATACCCGGTAAGGGCTGGGATTTTTTTCACGTGGACTTGGACTTCTAGTAATTCCCACTGGTTTCTGGTTAGTGAGATTGGTCCCCCGTGTTGAAAATCGAAAAGAGTAGTCTAACGGCGCTCCCCGGGCAAAATTTAGAGTTAAAAATCTACTCAAAGTATTTCAGGATTCTCGCCGATGCTAAAGAGCCTGTACACCGCGTGAGCTTCTTCGGACTCAGACTTCAGTTAAAAGAAGAACTTATGGATTACTACCGGTGTGCCATGATGTTGATCCGTTGTTCAAAATCTCAAACCATAAAGAAACGCTCAATGACCTCGGCCGCCAATGAGACTGTTAAATTAAACACTGTTTTCATAATTGCAAACTGATCACGGTTTGGGAGGAGTTAACACTTCCTTTATAATAAACACACAGAATACAAAAAGGGTTTGCGATTTATAGTTCAGATTTCCCTGTGTGGGTTGCGGGTCTCCAAATGTGTGGGGGTTGGGGGGTGGGGGGGGGGGGGAGAGACTGACTCCCTGTCCCCTAACAAAGGGCACTAATTAAGTGCCAGTCAGAGTTCTTTGGCACGAAAGGCGAGGAGCCAACAACCTAAAAAAAAAAAAACAGCCAAGTCCAGGAACAAGAACAACGCTCAGAAGTGGACGAACAACCAGAACTTTCCAGACACACGTTGAAAAACCCCAGAAAAATTCAAGTACTGACCAGCACTCGCAGAAGATGATAGTTTGCATGTCGATATGCGTATATTTGGACAATATATGCATTTCACATTATAAATATATACTGCAATGGAAATCGTAAAATTTGACAATGTAGATTACATATGCCAAAATCATGTCAGTAGTTTTCAGCATCGTCGTCTGCTTCGTCTCTTACTAGTTTTTCAAATGGAACAGCGAAGGACATTTTGTGTGATTTCCACTGGCACATGACTGGGACAGTTATGGGGTGACCTGTCTGTGGTGAAGATGGAAACTCGACTATCTACTATAGGTATATATGTGTTATGTTAGGAGATGTTAGTGGAGGGGAGAGAGACAGGAGAGATGTATGGATAGCGATAGAGAGAGAGAGAGAGAGAGAGAGAGGAGAGAGAGAGAGAGAGAGAGAGAGAAAGAGAAAGAGAGAGAGAGAGCAGCCAGATAGACAGACAGACAGACGGATGGATGGATGGATGGACAGACGGACAGACAGACAGACAGACAGACAGACAGACAGACAGACAGACAGACAGACAGACAGACAGACAGACAGACAGACAGACAGACAGACAGACAGACAGACAGACAGACAGATGGATGGATAGACAAATAGATAGATAGATAGATAGATAGATAGATAGATAGATAGATGGATGGATGGATGGATGGATGGATGGATGGATGGATGGATGGATGGATGGATGGATGGATGGATGGATGGATGGATGGATGGATGGATGGATGGATAGATAGATAGATAGATAGATAGATAGATAGATAGATAGATAGATAGATAGATAGATAGATAGATAGATAGATAGATAGATAGATAGATAGATAGATAGATAGATAGATAGATAGATAGATAGATAGATAGATAGATAGATAGATAGATAGATAGATAGATAGATAGATAGATAAATAGATAGACAGACAGATAGATAGATAGATAGATAGATATACATATAGAGAAAACAAACGAAATAATTTTTTGTCGAAAGGTCACAAACTGGGCACGCAGGCCCGTCTTACACTCGGCCCTGCCAAACACTCATCTTTCACACAGCAGTTGTATTTTATCAATAACGCATTTTCTCTTTATATAATATAACATGCATATTATAAATATCAAGCAAAAACACAAAAGCATGAGTGGTAAATGCACACACACACACACGCAAACTCACTCACTCACTTACACATAGATACATACATACATGCACACACACATACACACTCACATACACATATGTACACACACATGCACACACACATGCACACACACACATGCACACACACACACATATGTACAATTACACATGTACACACACACACCACACACACACACACCACACACACACACACATATACATACATACATACATACGAAAGAGACAGAGAGGAGATAATCAACTTCAACAAGTCCAGGTGGCTACCCTTTTCGATTTCCAAGGCCCCCAGGATCTGTAAACAGCCAATATGTCCCACGGGAGCACCAATTCTTTTGCCCGTGTACCGGGAGGTTATGAGTTTTTATCTAATATCCTAGGATCCGGACATTGAGGATATAACCTCATAGGGTTCCTTACACATGACTTGTTTTCATCTACATGATTCACAGCCGTACGTCTAAGCAGTGATCTCTGTCTGGGGTTCTTTGTGGAACTCGGCTCCCTCAAAGTCTGCCAGTTGCTTACAAACTCGTTCTAGATGTATAATTCCCGGTAAGCCCCGTTCAACCACAAGGTGATACCAGGCCCCCTGACGGTTACCAGGTAACCTCAAGAGCGGATCAGAAGACAGGGATATGACCGAACCAGTAGGTTTTCTGGTACTTAATGAATATGGTGCAAGGTGTTGCACCCCTACCCCGCACTTTTTCGGATATTATAAAACAGGAACAATGATATCAGGAGGAATCAGGAGGAGAGTCGGCACAGAACCAATACTGAATGTTATAGGTTGACAGCAAATCAAATGCTTTGACCATTTAACAAGATTGGCGTCAAGCAGGGAGCCAGGTTACATAGATATAGGGTAACACAGCCAGAGGTAGACCACGCAGAATATCGACCGCAGAAATATCAGAAACACTAAAAAGTACTTTATACGAAGCGAAAAGAAAGGCCCGTTTCAGAGATTTCTTCCTGCCCTGACGCCGCGAGGCCTTCTAGAAGCAGAGACAAAAAGAAGAAGAAGATACAACTAAAAAGGGCTCGTTTTCACGTACTGAAGCATACAGATTGGATATGTATCGCAGTCCCAAATACTTTATAGACCAGTCAGGACTTTCTAAGTGATGCGGCCAGTGTCACTTCGACCACCTTTATTTTCCATGACATTTCCTGGTACTTATTGTACGCTGGATTCAACCTAAGTCAATAAAAGGATGCCATAACGAGAATTCGAAGCATAGCGGTCACCGTGCTACCAAGGTGCTCTATGCCCAAGATGAAGCCAATGTTTCGAGTACCCATTCATTGCTGTCTTCCCTATCTCCCCCCCCCAAGGTCTAATATGGCGGATAAACAAGCATACTGTTTTTAGCCGTGGCAAATTATCTGCTTCTGGCCACGGTTAACCATCGCATTTTCCGCCATATGTGGATATAAAGTTTATAGTTCTATCGCCCAGCTACTGAGCTGAGTGCATGGCGCGGCACTGAGTTGCGGATTTCATTCGGAATGCTTTCCTACTGTGCTAAACGTGGTCTAAGTTGTGAACAGCACACTCTGAAAATGACGAGTAGCCTGTTACCACAGAACTGGTGGTGTCTTATGCGATTAACTGCTCGTGCAACTACTGATTAATTGTAACTGCCGCTTACACCGACGATGAAGCTGCCTTATGCATGTGGTCTTCGTTGGCACAGGAACAGGGCGACAATGGGGTGACCGGTTTGCTGTGAAGTTGGACATGCGATGACCTACTTTTTCCGGATTCCATTAACTAATGATTAAAATTCCCTGCGGCGTTTAACAAGGCCACAGGATTTCAGTTTCCGAGAGAAGATGATGTTTGTGTAACACAAATACAAGAATCAGCAGAAAACAATCTCTTCTCTGCGACCAGACAGTCATTTAATCAATCAGTCAGTCAGTCCGTCAATCTGTAAGTCAGTCAGTCAAACCAGTTAGTCCGTCAGTCAGTCAATCAGTCAGCTAGTCCGTCAGTCAGTTAACCAGTCAGCTAGTCCGTCAGTCAGTCAACCAGTCAGTTAATCTGCCAGCCAGTCAATCAGTCAGTATGTCCGTCAGACAGTCAGTCAGTTAGTTCGCCAGTCAGTCAATCAGTCAGTATGCCCGTCAGTCAGTCAACCAGTCAGTCAACCAGTCAGTTAGTCCATCAGTCAGTCAACCAGTCAGTTAGTCTGTCAGTCAGTCAACCAGTCAGTTAGTCTGCCAGTCAGTCAGTTAGTCCGTCAGTCAGTCAACCAGTCACCAGGTATCTCTCTCTCTCTCTCTCTCTCTCTCTCTCTCTATATATATATATATATATATATATATATATATATATATATATATATATATATATATATATATCGCATCTCTATATATCGTTAGCGTCAGCTAACTCATCTCACCAGTTGCTTCGGCCTGATCTGTGACAGATACTTCTTAATGGACTTTCCATCTGACCGTCCCTCGAAGTCAATAAACTGGACACGTGCGTTGATGTCCAGCGTAACTGTTGAGGATATGCACTTGGTGGGTACCTCGGCTACGTCTGTAAAGAAGCAAATATACAAAATACAGTTACATAATTACACATAAGACATGCCAGAAATATCAGTCGATGTGCCTAATGCCACTAACAAGAGATATGCCGATGATAGTTTTATTCGCTGGAAATAAAATGCAGTTATACGGGGAAGGCAAAACCGGTCAACAAATGCCTGCAGAAGTCGGATGTGTCGGCCGAAAGTATTGCAGCCATGCTATAAGTCAACCTTCCTAATGTCGCGATCCTTTAATAAAGTTCTTCATTTGTGGCGACCTCCAACCATACACTTGTTTTCGTTGCTACTTTATAACTTAAACTAATGTGTTTTGCGATGGTCTTTGGCGACCCCTGTGAAAGGATCGTTCGACCCCCAAAAAAGGGTCGCGATCCACAGGCCGAGAACCACTGCTGTAAATGGACACAACGCAATTACATTTTCAGATGAACGCAGAAGAAGACCTGCTGTTACTAAATGGATATGGAGCTTAACAGAAAGTCAGATAATGGTTTTAATTGTAATAGCAGATATTAGAATTCTCTTTCATTTGCGCACGTTCTCTATTTGTATCTCTCTTAACCACTCTCATTCCGTCTTTTTCTTTTCCACACTTTCTTCACCTCTTTTGATTTCTCTTTTTCTTACAACTGGATTTCTTACTCATTAACGATTTCTATCTTTTGTATACACATTCTTTCTCAATTCTTCTCTCTTTCATTTACTCTTACAATCTGAATGGGTTCATGATTGTTGTGTTTTTAAAAAAATGGGGGGGGGGGGGGGGGGGGGGGGAATTATTAGAGGCAGTTGCTGGGTCTAGGAAGTCTAATCGATGCAGGTGGGATAAAACCATGTGTTATGAAGTAAACCTCTTTAATCACTTCATGTAATCAATCAATAGCATCATAATATCCACCAACAGAACACTACTTAGGAACGATGACATTAGGAGGAGAGTCTGTATAGAACCAACACTGAACTTTATAGGAGTTAGACAACAAATCAAATGGTTTGGTCATGTAATAAGATTGGCATCAGACAGGGTACCACAGAGAGCAGTGTTATAGAGATACAGCGGTAACAGAGCTACAAGTCGACCTCTTAGAAGGACCGCATAAATATCAAAAACATTTAAAAGTACTTTTTACGAAGCGCACAGAAAGGCCGGTTTGAGAGATCTCTTTCTGTCCTGACGCTGCCAGGCATTCACAGAGGAGGGGGAGGAGGAGGAGAAGAGGAGGAGGAGAAGAAGAGGAGGAGAAGAAGAAGAAGCAAAATTCTGTTCAACGTTACAAAACAGTTATACAGTGGAAACTAGGATGCGAATTTATTCCGTCCCACACCTGAACCCGTTTAGTGAATAACTCATATCCTTCATCATCATCATTATCATCGTAAACCACTTCTGCCGTAAAAGCGAGGAGGAATAATTTGCGATCCAGTGCACGTTGGCTGCCACTGGCTATTGTCATGCCGTGAAGGCGTAGAGTGTCTTTAATGTTGTCGATCCATATTTTCCGCAGCCGTCCACTTGCTCTTGTAGTTGATCTTCTGAGATGTAGTGCTTGTGGTGGTATTTGATCTTGCTGCATTTTAACGAGATGGCCAAACCACTTGATCTGCTGTTACTCGATGAATCTTTTAGATAGTGTCCACGTTTGGCACTGGTAGCTTAATGTTGGAATGAATATGCTAATAATAATCTGTCTCTTTGCACTCATAGTTATGCTTGGATGTTTTAATAATGGTGACAATTGGTGTATAAGTGCTCTTGCTTTCTGACACCTGGTTTCTATTTCTCTGTCAATTATACCATCTTCTGTGATCATACTTCCTAGATATTTAAACTCCCTAACCTGATTCAGGGCAGAACCATTCAGCTGTATGTGTAGTGTGGCAGGGGTTCTACTAACTTGCATTGTTTCGGTTTTGTTTACTCGTATCCTTAAACTATTTTTATCGTTAAAATGATTGTAGATAATGTTAATGCATTCCAGCCCTCCGGTAATCAGCCTATTAATTTCAAAATAAAATTCTTCGTTTTGTTAAAGGGGAAAATGTTTGGCACTCGCTCTTTTGTTTTCTGCCGACAGCCGAATACATGGTTACTTTCAACCATGATGCTACAGTCCATCATCATCAAGTGCCTTTTCGACTGACTTAAAAGCCCTTCGGCAAGGTTAACCTGACCTAATCCATTAAACAGTAACTGAGATGCCGCTGGGTAAGAGTTCTCCTCCCTCCCTGTTCGCATCCTGGATTTCGCCTCATATTCCGGGGCAAACAATCTGGCGAGCCTGACCTCGTATCCTGAAAAACTCGTATTCAAGTACACTCGTTTCCTGAAGTTTATTTATGTTAATTACGTGTAACACAATGGAACCGACCAATCAAATCTCTTTCCTAAATGTCTGTTGAATTCCAGACTCAGCGTGACAGTCCGATATGTTTGTAATTGTTATTGTGTTATTTCTCCACCTAATGGCTAATGGCATCCGTCAGTCCCGGGGGACTATGGAGATGTGCCGCTGGCTTTGGGAACAGCATCTGCTGTGACTGTAAAGTCCAATGCGGGAATGGCAGTCTTTGCCACACAGGTTACACACAAAAGCAGATACTCCCTCGTTGTGAGGCAGTTTTACTCTCCGGTGTCTCCTCTCCACAGCTCGTTGTGTTCGGTTTCTTTCAAAATGTGACAGTCCGTCTTTCACTTTCTGTCTCCATAGTAGTCGATCTGCAGCTGATTTTTCCCATGTCTCTGTGCCTACGCTCCACCTACGCTTGGTTAATATACATTTCTGTAACCTGTGGTGCCATTTCACTGGGTTGAGATGAATTTGTCCGCATACCATAGTTGTGGATTTCATGTTGTATGATAGACATGGCCAAAGAAGACACCTTTTTTAGGGGTGCTTAGTTAGTCATGCTCTTAGTGCACTTGTTTCCATAAAAAAGGCGCACACGTCATTTGGAGGTGACAGGTTCGATTTCCAACAAGGTAACCATAGCCTTCGATTTTTTGTTGTTGTCAAAGTGTGGCTTTCTACTTATCTACCTCTTTCTATGAGTGCCGATTAATACATATGTTTGTTTATTATATATATCATATATATTATGTATATATTTGTAGCTTTATTATTATTCGACCAACAGGGTAAATCCACAGGTCAGGGTGTCTAATATTTCAGGGGGTGGTAGATAGGCTGTATGCATTCGTGGGACCCAGGCTGCATGCATTCGTGGGACCCAGGCTGCATGCATTCGTGGGACTTAGGCTGCATGCATTCGTGGGACTTAGGCTGCACCCTCTCGTATGACGTAGGTGGGTTGGGGTTCGGGCCAGTTCTAGATGTTTTAGGGTCGTTAAAAGCATCAGAAAGCCGGGAAACCCAGTCTTACCACCCTCTAAAATGTTGGACTGTCCCGTGACGTCACCTGGGGTAGGATATTACAAAAGAAATATATATATATATATATATATATATATATCCACCCTACGGTTAACTCCCCTATGTGGGAGCGGTTAGTTGTTTTATATCAGCAATCATAATCATGTTTGTAATATTTGAAACGCAAAACTTAGAACGGCAGTCCCGCAATCCTGTTAGCTTTAAGCCCAGAGAATATTAAAAACATAACCAGAAATGCCCGCATTATGGCACGCCACGAAACATCTGATTAGCTGGAGACATTTCTGCGTCCGTGTCTTGGATTATTTGCCTGTAAATCTGGACACTTTAACGGTGTTTGAAATGTTTCCTGTAATTCACGTAAAGCTGTTCAGTAAACGGAATCGCCCACTCTTTAGAGTTACCTGGCCATTGGTTTGTTCGGGTTTGGTCGCTGTTCCTCCCCTGCTCTCTCTCTCTCTCTCTCTCTCTCTCTCTCTCTCTCTCTCTCTGTGTGTGTGTGTGTGTGTGCGCGCGCGTGTGAGTGTGTGTATGTGCGTACGTCTCTGTGTTTATTTTCTGTAGGCTGCAGTGCCGAGATGAAGTATAAGCAGCAGCACAGTGCCAGTTTGAGTGCTTGTATTAGGGTGAGGGTTCACAGAGACCCCTCTCTCTGTATCCCCCCAACCTCTTTCTGCCTCTCTTTCTGATATCATTCTACTTTATTTCCACTGGACCTGGCAGAATCTTGGTGAACAATAAACAGCGGAACAGTCCTTGTCTCCATGCTTACGTGCTTCGTATACGGGTTTTCAGACAGACTCCCTTTCTCCCTCTTTCACCCCCCCTCTCTCTCTCTCTCTCTCTCTCTCTCTCTCTCTGTCTCTCATTTATCCCGTCTAACCTTGATCTTCTCCTACCTTGCAGAGTCGAGGTAAGTATTAAAAGCACCAGCGTGCCAAATATTGCTTCGTATATCTGGGGATCAGGAACCAGCGCCTCTACCTCCTCTCTAACCTTGATCCTATTATTCCTTGCGGTATACAAGTATTGTATATTTGAGAGTCATATGGACTCCGTCCTCCGCCCTCTCACTAACCTTCATCCACTTATACCTTGCGGTATAGAAGTAAGTATCGTATATTTGGGAGTCAGATGGACCCACCCCCTCCTCTACCTCCTCTCTAACCTTCATCCTCTTATTCCTTGCGGTTTAGAAGTAGGTATCATATATTTGGGAGTCACGTGGACCCACCCCTCCTCTTCCTCCTCTCTAACCTTCCTCCTCTTTTTTTTTTTTTTTTGCGGTACAGAAGTAAGTATGGTTTATTCGAGGGATCACATGTATCCCACCCTCATCCGTCAAATCTCTAACATTGAGCATCTTATACCGTGTGGTGTAGAAATGAGCATCGTATATTTGGGGGTCACATGAACCCCACCTTCTTCCTCCGTCCCATCTCTAGCCTTGGTACTTTTATACTTTGCGATACAGAATTAAGTATCGTATATTTGGGGGTCACATGGACCCCACCATCCTTCCCCGTCCCCTCTCTAGCCCTAAATCTTTTATATCTTGCAGTGTAGAAGTGAATATCGTATATTTGGGGAGAGGGTGTGTCACAGGGACCCCAGTTCCCCCCCCCCCCCCCCCGTTCTAACCTTCATCCTCGGTGCTGTTCACATTTCCAGGCTCAGGATTAAAGTAACTCCGTTTGCCACTAATGTCCCCTTCGGTCGTTGGACCTCTCCTCTGTTACAGGTGAGTCATGTTTTCCTTACTGTGAACGGTTTAACTGTTGCCTCGTTTATCGTCTTCTCACTGCTCGCTTGCGTGATAATTTTCACGTTCTACTACCTGCGAGACGGTTCTTGGGTATGGAAACAGCGATATTTTTCTATTCCTATGCTCAATGTAACTGCTTTCTTTCTCACGGTGGAAAGCCACCGTCAACGAACGCAGAAATACAAAAACACCCCAGTTTCGATAGCCAAGAATCGTCGCACCTGCGGTGGTTCCCATGCAGTATTTATTACGTGCGAACAGGCGCCTAAGGAGCCTGAAATAGACTCACAACAATAAAACCTCCCACAAATATTACATACAGCGAGCGAACGCCAAACCAAACCATATCATAACACCCCCGCAACATAGGAAAGGTCCATCGACCTAAGAACGCATGAATGGCAAGGATAGTTACTCTAATCCTGGGTCTGGAAACGTCAACAGGACCCCATCCTCTCAAGACGACGTAATAGACTGCGGAAGAGTGTCTGCTTATGCGTTGAGTGCTTCGCATAAGGGTGTACTCAGGGACTCTCTCATTTCGGGCAGCCAGGTCACAGAGAACCCGAGCCGTGCGCCTCAACAAGGACTCCAGGTCTTGTTTTCCTAAGCTCCCAAATTATATCTGCCTGGGCTATTCTCGCGCTCATCCAAGTCAAGCGTAGATGTTCTATCGCACCACCGGCTGCTCCCCTGGCGCTATATTAGTTTCATCTTTTGAATGCAGTCATCACATATTAGTTTTCGTCATCTGCCAAGGGCAATTAATTCAACGCAACGTACACCACGTTATGGTTTTTGCTGAATTGAGAAGAGCGTTCTTCTCTCGTTTCACTGTGTTTTATGTAAACACATGTGAAGGCAGACAAACATGAGGCAGACATCGGCACAACTAGGAGGAAAACATTAGGAGATGGACGAACATAAGTACAAGGAAGTGTACAACCAAGACGAGTGACATAGTGTTAGAGACCAATTGCAGCCATCCTTCACCGTGGGAGCCGCAGCTACATACCTGCTGATATTATGGCATGGGTTCAAATTCGCACTGAGCGTCATTTAACTATCAGGCAACCCTAAATTAAAACAGGAACTAGAAAAGTCATAGGATATAAATGTGACCGCAGTGAACGTGACCAAATCATTAATGGAAGGTCTAAAGCAGCGTTCCTCAACCTTTTTACACCGGCAGCCCACCAAAACAGGGCAACATATTCCGTGAACCACCAAAACAGGGCAACATATTCAGTGGCACACCAAAACAGGGTAATATATTTCGTGGAAGACCAAAACAGGGTAACATATTCCATGGCCTACTAAAACAAGGTTAAATATTCTGTGGCTCATCAAAACAAGGTAAAATATACCGTGGCTCATCAAAACAGGATAAAATATTCCGTGGCCCGCTAAAACAGGATAAAATATTTCATGGCCCACAAAAACTGGGTAAAATATTCCATGACCCACTAAAACTGGGTAAAATATTCCATGGCCTGCCAAAACTGTGTTAAATATTCTGTTGACTACCAAAACAGGGTAAAATATTCCATGGCCCACTAAAAAAGGTTACAATAATCTACGGTCTACCAAAATAGGCTAACATATTCCGTGAATAATCAAAACACGTTAAAATATTCCGGGGCCTGCTATAACTGGGTGACATATTCTGTGGCCCACCAAAACCGGGTAAAATTTCCCGGTTCGCACCTGATATTTAACCAAACACAGGGAAAACATTTTAATTTTGATTAAATTCCATGTCACAAAATTACAATTTTCAGTCAATGCGACGCCTACACTGTGATTTGGCCCTGTAATGAGAAGAGAGGTATTGGAAAACATCGCGACAACTGGAAAGATCAGTGGAAAGATGATGATGATGACGACGACGTCTGCTGCTGCTGCAAAGAAGTTACGACAAAATACGTTGCTAAACGCGGTTTTCCGGTTTTGTACACATTTGATCTTCATCCTAGATGTGTTCGTCAGACTGCAATCATGGAAGAGAAAACCTACTTATCCTACCTTGTTACATGATTTAAAAAACACCAAACTGGCAGCTCACCTGGACTTTTCCGCGGAGCACCAGTGGATTGCAGCCCATGGGTCGGAGACCAGTGGCCTAGAGTCCTGTCCAGTTTATTGGCATCGCCACTGGCTCACCGGTCGGGACAGTACTTGAGTCTTGTCTCCTTTGATCGCATCTACACTGCAGGAGTCCTTTTCAGGGCTCTAGGTGGCGTGCAACGCTAGTCGTTCTTTTATATGGCGCATATAACCTAGTCACAATTATAACCTAAAGCTCCCCTTTGGGAGACGCTGGTTGAACGTGACGATTTGTGTTTTGCCAGCGAAGCACCTACTTACCTATCTAGAACAATGGTCTCCAACCTTTTTCAGGTGGGGCCACTGAGTATAGAGTAAGACCCGCCCCCTCCCTCCTCCCAACATAACAAAATGTGACTGAAAAGAGGACAGAAAGAAAAACCCCAAGCGCTGCCAACAAGAATTTGTAGAAACCCACCCAAACAAATCAAGGGGTCAAATAACAACAGAAATAAGCATCAACAGCTGTTAATTTAGTGTCTAAACATCAATGTGATGGTTGACACTGGTTTGTCTCGATGGTATTTGCTACTTTTGGTATGATTTTTGGACAACGCATAACGGAGATCGCTCTCCACATCAAGCTGGCAACGCTGTTTGTTTTTACGACTGCTAAAAGCTGAAAATCCGGAATATTACAAGTACAAATGCACCCAGTTTCGAAACTGCTTGACGCCCCTCTTGAAACTGCATCATGCCCCGCCTCACTTGTATATATCAGCATGCCAGGGTTTTTAAAACTCCAAAAATATGGAGAAACTCGGTCTAACACCTAACCCTAGAGAGTGCTGAAACCTATGTCACAGGCATTCTCTTTTTCGGAATGAAAACGGAAATGCAAGACATCGCAGAAACCAAACAACAGAGCGAGACACACCCTTAACCTTCAGAAAAGTCGAACATCCCACTAATAAATGAAAAGTAATCTACTATATTTGGGTAGATTAACATCGAACTAGCCCAAATATGTCTCTAGCGGTTCTCAACCTGTGGATCGCAACCCTTTTGGCGTTCGAACAAGGGTCGTCAAAAACTATCGGAAAATACATATTTACTTTATAAAGTAGAAACGAAAACAATTTTATGGCTGGGGGTTGCCACATCATTAGGAACTATATTAAAGGGTCGCGGCATTAGGAAGGCTGAGAGCCACTGTTATAGCATCACATGTCAAATGTTCCAAAAGCGAGAAACAGATCCTTTAGTTTTACTTCTTTTAGAGCAACCTTCATTGAGGAGGCGGCACTTGATTATATCAATAAGCTAAAAAGTGTAAGAGTACACTCTGTGAGCCAATTTTGGAATTATCAATGCCTGCATACATTTGTTTGTTTTGTTGCATGCGATGTCACCATTAACAGATATCCTTAAGCAAACGAAAACAGCAATCGCCCAAACCTAATTTAATTACATGGCACATCTAAGAAGTTTCACCCGACAGGGAAGGGGCGGCAAGGGAACAAAAAAGTCAGGGGAGAGAGGGTGGATGAATGATAAAGACAGAGAGTTATACACACATAGAAAGACAGATACGGACAGGAAGAAAGAGAAAGATAAAGCGGGAAAGATAGAGGAAGAAAAATGACAACATATGCACACACACGTATATAAATATATTATACACAGACACAGACTGGCGGACAAGAATGACAGACAGACAGACGGACGGACGGACATACAGACAGACGGACGGACAGACAGACAGACAGACAGACAGACAGACAGACAGACAGACAGACAGACAGACAGACAGACAGACAGACAGACAGACAGACAGACAGACAGACAGACAGACAGACAGACAGACAGACAGAAAGACGGACGGACGGACGGACGGACGGACGGACGGACGGACGGACGGACAGACAGACAGACAGACAGACAGACAGACAGACAGACAGACAGACAGACAGATAGATAGATAGATAGATAGATAGATAGATAGATAGATAGATAGATAGATAGATAGATAGATAGATAGATAGATAGATAGATAGATAGATAGATACTAGATGAGAGGGAAGATAAACAGACAAGGACAAAGAGACAGAGGACGAGAGAGAGAGAGAGAGAGAGAGAGAGAGAGAGAGAGAGAGAGAGAGAGAGAGAGAGAGAGAGAGAGAGAGAGAGAGCGGCGACATAGAGTGACAGCGAGAGGTAGAGAGAGACATGCAGAGGGAGAGAGAAAGAGAGAGAGAGAGAGAAATAGAGAGAGCAAACTAGCGCCCTATTAGACGCCGTGAGAACAGGGCAAAGAAAAGACACTAATGAAATGAAACTTTAAT